ATCTGCTGGCATTTCTTCACCTACTCAAACCTTCTTCGTCTTTCTCATCCTCCGTCCCCTCTCAATTCTCAGCTGGGGAGGATCAGTGTTTTTTACAGCTTCCAAAGGTTCAAAAAAAGTTAAAAGCTCAGTCCAACTGGCGGCTGGGCACCTTGCCTCCCCCCCTTCTCCTCCTGACTGTGGTGCCAGCACGAGATATCAAATTTCCAGCCTGCACAGTCTCTTTATCATTCTCTCCCGGGGGGGAGCTGCCCAAACCATTCCAGGTCTCCTCCACCCCTGCATCTTGCAGGGCTCCGGCTTCTCTCTCTCTCAGACCGCATGGCCTCCCCCTCCCCCACCCAGACGCAGCTGGGCAGTGGAGGAGACCAGATCAGCTCACCTGCCGGACTCCAAAGAGAAAGTCTCTCTGGGAATCCTCTGCTTTTAACCCCTGTGTATTCTCAGAGGCGTATCCAAGTCCCCAGTGGCCACACCAGGTGCCAATTTCAAATCTGGCCACTGATTGGTTTGACCATAACTTTCCCAGAACCTCACTTCCTGGTCAAACCATGATACACAAGATACATGTACCTCAGGAAACTGAGAAGCTGCATTTCCCAATCTCCTATTCTGCCCTACCATAGACTTGGCTCGAGCTGGGCTCCTGTGCAGCTGAGAAAGGCTCAGCGCAGTCCATAAAGAGGAAAAAAAAAAAAACCAAGAGAGAAAAGAACCTGCCCCAGGAGAGGGGCAGTCCTTGGAAAAGGAACACAAACCCACACTCTAACCTACAAGCTGATGGATGCTTAAGCATTTTGCCTAAGAGAGCACAGGGACTAAGGGTATAAACAAGCTAAATCCCTTTGTGGAGTTGAATAGTGTTTTAAACCACCGAGACTGCACACACAACATCTCTGCTGGAATTTAGTTGATTTATTCAATGATGCAGAAAAGAATACAGGACCCCTCATCCCTAGGCTGTTCTGAATTTTCAAGGTTGACAGAATTTATACTGCACAAGGAAGTGAGTGATGCTTTTCAGAACTGAAGTGAGTTTTATGGCTCCCAATATACCTTTGTTTACTTCTTTTATTTAAATTGCCTTAATCCAACTCTTGAAATTGTACACATTCTGATGGAAAGAAACTGACAAGGCCCACAACTGGCTGTGAGCCATTGCTAGAAAGAACACGAAGGGCTGGACATGGTCTTTGGTCTGAAGTGGTGAGAACATTTATGCATCTGCTCTCCTGGATGCCCAGATACAGACCTTAAAGCATCCCTTAAATATATCACTTAAAACTTCATAATGTCTTGGCACATCTCTGTATAAAAATCAGCAGGTAGCTTTAAAAAGATATTTGTATCTTCCCAGAAGTTAAGCAGATGGGTTTGCCAAAGCCCAACACAAGTAACCATATACATAGTGTTTTATTGCTACTACTCAGAAGTTCACTGTAAAACATTTATTATTTAATCTGTAATAAAAAGTATGTGGGTATGGTTTTTTAAGGCAAACACCATACTTCAGGTATGCCCCTTTAAATGGGACTTCAGAGTATGTGAGGTTGTTTTAGCCAAGCTTTACTTTTTCTCAGTCAATTTTTACTCAGTTGCTGGCATGTTGTCTCCCTCACTCATTTTGGATTATGTTCTTTTCTCCTCAAAGTTTTAAGACTTACCAGCTCCTTCACATTTCTTGCATTTGAAAATGAGGCTGAAAAATGCATGAAATCCATACCACCTACTCTGCTGCAGAGTTTGGTCATTTGTGACTCATGTGCATCTCTGCTGACACCTTTTGGCAAGAGTCAAAGCTTTACCTTTGACTGAGAAACAGAACTGAGGGATTAAAGCAACTGCAGAATAAACAGGCAAACGCAACAATCAGTTGTTTGACAGACCATAATAATTTTTTGGCTGTAATCTGAGTTTCAAGAAAGGCCAAAGAAACTGACAGCATTCTGGAATGGAAAGGTAACAGAGCATTAAATGAAAGGTGATAGAGAAATACAGTCAAAAATGAGAGTAAATGGTTTCTGACCCCCTCAAAATAACAAATATTATTCTAATACTGCATGTCAAGTTTTCACAGTAATATTATTCTAACAAGCAGATGGTTCCTTGAGCCATAATTGTCTTTGAGACACACAGATCAATACAGCACTTTGGGAAAGACAATTATCAAAATTGGGTTCCCTTTAGAAACATCCACCTTTGTGGCATGTTACTCATCATTATGGGGTAGAGATGCACTATTGCCAACATCTGTACTTTTTTACTGAAAATTATTAGTATTTATTGTTTCATCTATAAAAAGATGTTTCTTGGAACAAACTGATTATGTGACAATCTTGTTTTTATATACAAGTGTAGGCATTCACAAGTAGTAATGCTGAATGCTCAAACACAACTAAAAATTAGTAACAACATATTGCTAGGGCCTAACATTCTCCTGTACTAACATAAATGTTCTAGCATTGGTTGTTCCGCAAGAATATAGAGCTACTGTCATGAAAATAACCAAAGATCAGGTAAGATACAAATATAGTTTCCTTGAGATCTTTAAGGTAGAAAAGCCCAAATTTGGAGAATGTTATTACTTCACTAAGAAGTTATGCAAAAGTTGTCTTTGTTCCACTGTGATCCCTCAGTGAGGAAAGGTTCAACACTTCAGAGGATATGGTCTCTGTTCTGCACTTCTGGAGAGCAATTATGCAAGGCAGTGGATAATATATCTGGAAATGGACCTCCAGATAGGTCTCAAGAGTTCTTTCTGTTTACAGTATTTCCCTCTCAAAACTTGTCACCTCATCTCAGAGAGATAATCATCCTTTCAATACAAAGAATTAAGTTCCCTGACTCACTGGTAAAAACCAAAAAGCAGCTGAAGTGGCAGACAACTGCATGTCAAACTGAGAAGTCACAGTTCTCTTCTGAACATTGATTCAAACCATAAGCAAGCCAAAAAATCCAGACCACGCAGTAGATAAAATGCTGATCCCATCATGTGGGCCACTCTCCTTTAATAGAAAAAGAACTAAAAGAACTGTGTTTTCCAGCAGAAATCTTCACTGTAGGCCTGTGATATGGACAGGGGCTTGTAATATTACATGAGTTTGGGTTTTGTTGCTGTTGAAAAAGCTTTTCAAACTCTTACGGCTTCATTTGTGATCTTGGACCTCTGAAGGATAATAGGTTGGGAGAGTATCATTGCAGACCGACAGCTCTGAAGTTCCAAGCTTCAAGTGAGCCTGCGTTGGGTTGGATCCACCCTCCAGCACCGTGCAGTTTACCAGTTGCAATTCTTTGGTGAAGCAGAATTCAATCTGGCCAATTGTTTGTGCTTTTTCACCCTAGAAACATGAAGGGTAAGATCAGCCTCATGGGAAGAAGAAAATAAATCAATTCTTCAGGTAAATTGTCCTATCTGTACAATACAGTAGTGATTATTTGTGCATTTACCAGATGAAAAATGCAAAGAAAAGTACAAGAGGCATCCACTCTGAACAGCTGATAGTACATACTGTTACTCAGTACCAATCTGGGACTTGTCTAACTAGTAAGCCTTGTTGTGAAATGCTGTGACACATTATCCTGGCCTTTACTCATCTACACAATGATGAGCTCTGGCTGAACTCTGGGAATACTGAAGGGCACATGTGACCAGAAAGATACTTTTCACCAACTCTTCACAGCAGGGTAGGAATTAAGGCAAATAAAATTCTCCATACATGAGAAGAGAAACTAAATTTTATAATAGCTTTTACATAAAAGAATACAGAAGCAAGGAGACAGAAGGAGCAGAAGTGTCATTTTTGTACTACAAAAGGAAGAAAAATTACTACGAATAAAGCAGGCAGGCATGGAGGCCTTTCATGTGGCAAAAAGATTACAGGAAAATCCCCCCCCCAATGCTCAGGTCTAACAAAATGTGGAAAAAAAAGGTTTTGAAACAATTCAGCAGGACAAAAAATATGTACAAGACAAAAGTAACTGAGGTGAGGGGTTTCTTGTTTGTTTGGAATTTGTGTTATTGGAGAATTTATTTTGTTTGTTTTTTTTTTTTTTTTTAAGAAACAGAGAGTGTGTCTAATCCATTTCAAACATAGAAGTACCTCCATCATGCACTTCAGGCATGGACAAGTCTAGAACTCTGAAAAAGGCCTATCTTCAAATAACTGAGATGTACTTTTTCATTTCTATTACCCAATACCTTCACCTGTTAAGTACAGGAGACCCAAGCTGTACATTACTTTCATATAATTGGAACAGTATCCCAAGTGTACTAAAAGCAATGGCAGAACTACAGTGAACAGAGATAGAAACTGGGGTTTGTGTTAGCTCTGTATTTCTTTAAGGTCAAAAGGTGGGGGAGTATACAATCCACATTCAACTACAATTCTTTTATTCCTTGAAGTAACTTATAAACACATGTTAAAAATATTGTAACCTACAGATTTTTTCCTGTTAAAAAACATATGAGTAGAAAAACCTCAGAGCATTACTAAAGCAAGAGTTGACAACACACTCCAATAGCAACGGTATCTTAGCAGGTTTTTATAAATTGTTGCCTGCATATGGGCAGTAACTCTGCCAAGAGTTCTGTAGTAAATCACCTTGAACAAGCTGAGATAAGAAGGAAACACTAATAAGAGTGAAAGTGAACTTGTGGGTTTTGTTTCTTGCTCTGTTTTTCTATAAGAGCAGAGTAACCTCACTGAAGAAAAGGAAAGAAAGAGCTCTACAACCTACACAACCTTCTGAACCTAACTGTTCAGAACACTATTTTGTTCCTTCAAAGGCACTTTTGGTTCAGATATGGTGACCTATACTTTACAGAACACTGTGTACCACCTTCTCTACTGCATCATGATGCACGGCACAATTACTGGCAAGGAAAAGTAAAAAGACATGGAAATTTGAGACATGATTGGTTTAAAAGGAAAGACAACAGTGACCTCTTTAGGTATGGGCTCTCTGGAACAATCTCAGAGAGAAGCTTCTGAGTTGCTTTATTTCAGAAGGATTCTGACAGCAGCACCCTCACCAAGGCTGACATTCACTGCCTCCATTCAGTTCACTCTTGTTGATTTTAGTAATCTGCCATGCAGCATCTAAACTTTAGCAGGCATGGTGGAAAGTGCCCAGCTACAGCAGTACCTCTGACAGGGTGGTTACAGGATTCATGCAAGAGATGCAGGTTTAAATATTTTAAGACAAAGAAACCTTTAAAACCCAAGTCCAATAATTATACAATACCTATATGCAAACAGCTGTATATACACAAAGAACACCTAGACCTAAGTTTCACCATACTGAAGATTCTTCACTCTATTTCTGCTATATTTTTGATACTTTAAAAAAAAAAAAAAAAAAAAAGTTGTTTTTTTTTGTTTGTTTTTTTTTCATTTTGGGAAGTCAGGGGAGTTTTTACCTCTTCTGGAGGACAGCATTGGATCTTTGGTGTTACACCATAAAACCTTTTAAGAGCTTCCTTTATAGCAGTCATCTGAAAAATTAAAAAGCTTATAGAGACTAATAGGTCACAAGCACATCTTCTAACAGCTCCCACACTGGCTAAGCTCTCAAAAACTTTTTAATAAAAAGTACAATCCTAAAGAACTATAAAATTTCAAAAGATCATTTGTTCTACAGAAATTAGTTGACTACTACTGAAAAAAAAAGTCCATGCACATGATTTTGTTTTATTAAAGACTGCCTCTTACCTTGTAATATGAACTGCTCGGCTTTATCCCAGCTTTCAAGAGACAACTGAAACAAAGATAAAACATTTTTCCATATTTCCTCTATGCAAACATACCTTCATAATCATTAGGTAAAACAGATCTTAAGAACCTGTCAAGCATTACAGTGATGGGAGCAAGGGCAACTTGTCTTTCATTCTTTGCCAGCTAGGAAAGGCCATTTTCTGAAAGAACACTTCCCATATAACTTGGCAAAGTCAGGAAGAACCCTTTCCCACACCTTAATCTGAGGAACTAGAGTAGTTCAGTCTTCAGACACAGCTAAGGGAAAGGGAGTTTCAGAGTGCTCTGTTCAGTGCCAGGTAGGGCATGCAGTTTAATTGCTTCCTTTCCCTTGCCTTGAATCATTCCCCTGTGCTTCTGCCACTGCAGAGGGCACAGGGGCAGACTTGTGAGGGTGTTCCAGGCACCCTCATATTCAAACACAGGATGGGCTTCCTGTGGTGGGAGACACACAGCACACTGGGAGAGGGATACAGCATGTCAATCAGAATCAGTGTTACTGTCAGGGCAGAAACTGTTCCTAATAAATACGTTTTTGAAGAGGAAAAGCTGGTCACATGAGAGAAATGAGGTAGAGCTCAAGAACCTGTAGCCTGTGTATCCCTTCCTTTAGGCTCAGTCCTGAGAGGAGTTCACATTTCCAAGCTGACAAGACCCAGGACCTAACACATGATGAGTCTGTGGGTCCCAGCTTCTTCTGTAGAAAGTGGGAACGGTGAGTATCTTGCAGGGTATGGATTCATAAATGCTGATAGTGCTCAACCCTTCCCTTCCAAGGTCAGTTTTGGCAGAAGGAAGATTTTATCCAGCTGACTAAAGGACAAGCTGGTTTTCACTGTCATTTTACACTGCATATAAGGAGGCCAATAAAATAGATGATGTTTTGTTGATTCTTACAGAAGGCTGCATGATGTCCTCTTTTTAATAATTTGATTTGTGGAAACAATTTTTTTAATCACTGGCATTTTTTGTCTTTCAAGTAGAAATTATATACAATAAGAACATTTTCAGTCTTTTTTCTCTTCAGTAAAGATAAAATTAATTATACTTATTTTCACAATAGAAAATAAGCTTTGAGCAATTAATTTCAACATACTTCAGTCTCTATTCTTTTGCAGTGTTGCACATGCTGATACAGAGCCACATCATTGGTCACTGTGCCATCTGTAAATGTTTTAGTCACACCATCACAGCTACTTAGGCAATTGACTTAGACATCATTAATTTTAACACTACATATGACATGCTCAAACACTGTGAAAACCCTCTCAGAAAAATCTGCTACAGTTTTAAAAGACATCTTCAAAACCAAGGTGGGAAAAGGAAGAAATACTTACTTTCTTTGTGCATATGCAAAATAAATGATACTTTGTCTAGGAGATTGATTGGACAGGATACTGGCAAAGCATAAACAGGATGAGCTGTTTTGATGTTTCTTTGGGGCTGTTTTATTGAGTTTTTTAAAGGTATGTTTCTTTGTATGAAACTATTTCCTCTCAGATACCGTCCGCCCATGGTCAACAAATCTAAGTCAAACATTCCTCTCACCCATACCAAGCACTGATCAGGAAAGGACTCCAGCCTTCTAGCATTCAGCTGCAGCCAGAACACTGGCATACAGCACTTGGACAAGACTTTGAATCTGGAATGGCCAGTGCTTTGGAACAGTAAGGAGAAATCAGCCCCTAGGACAAAGCAAGAGTGTCACATAGGGGCTGTAACAAAGAACAGCAGAGGACTGCCTGCAGTGACTGAACCCTTCACAACCTTCTCTCCTGCTGCTGCCTCTCAGCCTTTTCCCACGATGTCCAACGTCATTTTGCCTGCAGCTTGTCCTTTCCCCTGAGCACTTACAAACAAGTGTTTGGGGCTCACCACAACTCAGAAGTTTGGGGGGGTTTGTCACTTGATTTAGAACTTTATAGGTAGCATAGCTTTTGGTATGAAAATACAGCCTGCAAAGCTGCTCAAAAATTTACTGGCTCACACTATCTAGAAGGATGCTGGTAAGAAAGATGATGGCTTATCTAACTGAAGTGACCAGAGACTGCTTCTCAGGGTAAAAACTCTTCCTCTGGACTTCAGTACTAAAAATAATTTATGCTAATTCTCATTTCCTCTCTACCACCAGATTTTTAGACTTTCATTTGAGGCTAGATCTGGAACCTTTAGGAACTGTTTGAAATAAAAGCCAGATCATCAAGTTCATTTACATACCCATTGAGATCAACATGCTGGTAGAGTTCTATGGTTTTACCAAAGTATTTTTTCTGAGAATTAAGGACCTCAAGAGTGGCTGCACAAGTACCATGTTTGTCCCACTCATGTTTCCTACAGGAGAAAAGCAAAACGCAAATTTTAGAACACATTATTGACAGATATATGTGCTGTACAAGCTAGCCATTGTACTTAAATCAAGTATCTGAAAGGCTACACGTGGAGTAGAACACTGCATTCAGATTTATCACACATGTAAAAACTAAAGCCAAGCAAGATCATTCCAACCATTTCAATTACAGCAGCATCTATATATTCATGAAGTAAATATATATCATGCTCTTACAATACAATGCCATCTCAGTGTACTCACACAAAGATGTTTGGAGGTCAGATTGCAAAAAAATTGCCTAGAAAATTACTATCTCTGGGCTTTTTGTAAGTTTTAGTGGAACCTTTTGCGTTAAATGCACTTTTAAAGCATTAATTATTTTCTGAACCCAAAGGATTAAGCCTTATTTTGGGTCAAACAGTGTAACTGCACAAGCTGCTAAGATTTTAGCATCAGCTTGTATGCTGGCCTGTGGCAGAATTTTGATAGGCCTCCTCTCAAGTCTTGTTTCTAGTCCACTATCCATTCTCCTAAGAGCAAGGAAGAGAGAGCAAAAGAAATTCTTGCAGTATACAGCAGACAAACTCAAACAGGACAAAAACCTGAAAAAAGACAAAAATGTTTCTATCAATTCTAAAGTCCATTGAAAGCCTAAGCAGCACAATCTTTAGTGACACTGCCTGTGGATGTCTTTTTTAAATTTTTTTCAAATTTTCACAATCCACTTGTACTATACAGGTATCAGTTCAGTAGATGTACACAAAGATTATCTAATCACAAACTCCTGCCATCATCACAGCATCCTGTGACCATATGATGCCTTAAGTACCTATCAAAAAACAGAGAAGAAGGACAACTATTATTCACTTGAAAGCCTACCTTGGAATTGTCCATTCATACTAAAAACTTCAGCTTTTTCTTAAGGAATTAAAACACTTTAAAAGAAATTATGTTTGGATCTAGAGAAATAGTGCACTACTTCTGAATAGAAAATTAATAAAGCAACTGTGGTGTCAGGAGATTCGAGGCAGGGGAGAAGATGCTTTACTGTAAGATTTTCACTGTATCTTCCCAAATTTAGCCTTGTAGAGAGTTCTCAACTTGGCTGCAGCAACTAACACAACTGCATGTCAAATGAATTGTTTATTGCCTGGAAGAGTCCGGTTTCCATGGGTGAATTTCTCCACAAGGGATTTTAAATTACTAATGAGAAAAAACATCACAGTTTTAAAGTAAACAGAAGCTCTTTTAGGGGTAAACTTAGCAAGAAATATAATTAGGTTGGATCAGAAGCAGATAACAGTCAGAACCAAAGAGCTACTAAAACAGCAGCAAGCTGGAGGCAAGGCTTTGCATGTAGGATGACAATTTTAGTTCAGAGAATGTATACATGCATGTCTGTAAAACTGGTGGTCATGTACCTGTCTTTTGAAGGCCTTCAGTAGTACCTATATTTAAGTGTCCTGCTCTTTCTAAAAAGAAGGCAGAAATAGAGGGCCAAAGACCTGCTGGCATTCAAGAAGACTTTTACTGCTACCATGGAACTGCTATTGGAGTGGTTTGGTGCAGTCTGCACTGACAGTGCCCGTGCACCATCATCTGCAGCAAGCCAAGAATGCACCAGGTCCACCAGAAGGGACAGACTTTAGTCTCCACAAAATATTTACCAAGACTTTAAGATGATACAATGTCACTTTATTTTGCAGCACAGCCACATCAAAAGAAAAAAAAAATACTGAAAACAGCTGCAGGTGTTCATCACTCCATCATTCTGCACCTCTAGCACCCATAAGTGTGGTGGTAGCACAGAGCTGCTCTCAGTAACTTCACTGAACAGAGAAGTGGCTACCATGCACAATGCACTCTATTTTTCTATGTTCTCTTCTGTGAGGAAGCCCAAAAGGAAAGCTCTCTCAAGACCAGCAACACAGTGAAACTAGCTAGGGAAAGAGATCTTGGAAGCTGCTCTTGCAGCTAGCTGTGATACCCCAGGAATGCTACTGCTACTCAGATTTAATGTGTCAACAGCAGCTGTTTCTCCTTCGTGGGGACAAAGGAAGGAAACATTCTCTCGCTAAGTTTCATTTCTCTAAATCTTCTGCTAAGCCCTCTCTTCAAGAGCTGTATTTTATAAGAGAGCAGATCTATATTGTATATGAGACTGGCAAGACACACTGCTTCAGTGGCCTCCTAGACACTTCTCTCATGTACCTGAAGAACTACTCAGATTTTCATAAAATAATATCCAAAATGCTTTTTAGGGCCTTGTTGTACTCACCAGAACTGGGTGCGATTCAGAGATGAATGAAGAACATCAGGCCAGTAGTGTCTCATGTCTGACATAAGATCCTAAAAACACCAAAATTAATAAATGCACCTACAGCATTGAAAAGCTACTTCTTATACAATCTACATAGATTGATAATTTTTTTACAACTGAAGCCTCATCTTTCAGTGTCCATAACTGAAACAATTAGTTGAGGAAAAATAAAAGGTCTTTTTCCCCCAAATTCTGAAAATGCTGTTGTTGGAGGTAACAGGTACACCTACCTAAATATCTGAACGTACTAATACTGACACACTGCCTCAAAGCAAGACTTTCCTTCAACTGTCCCTCAGCTCAAGTCTCTTATCCCTGTCTATAACATATCAAGGAATTTTGTTGAATTAAACATGTTGGACTTTTTTTAAGTAGAAAAAGAACAAAAAAGGACTAATGACCTAGGAGAAAACACACAAAACAGTACTCTGAACTCTTACTTTGTTCTGATTTTGCAGTAGAAAATGTGAAGAGGTAACACCAACTGACTGAATCTCTTTCTTTTCACAGGTACTTTTTGCCACTGCAGATCCATCACCTATGCGGTGGTGAACCTCTAGATTTTATTAAAGAGGATGTGGCTGAATGAGCCAAACTGCATGTTCACAAAATCAAGTAGGTACATCTGCTAATGATTACAAGTACGGCAACTTCAGATAGTACCAGAAGCACTAAAAGAATTTCTGGAGTCCTTAAAAAACTATACCCCTCAGTAAACATTCGGAGTGATATTATGAACTGCAAATTTTGCATATAGGATGTGCAAAAGTAATTGCACTTAGCTCTGCCTGGTATGTCTGTTTTTGTTTCAAATACCTTGATCTCGGTAACATTGAAATGCCATGTCCTGTTACAGTCTTCAGCTCGGTCAGGCCTAGGGAAGCAAAATAAAATTGAAAAAAGATGTCTCCTAACTTACTACTGGTACCTAACATATCATTATCCTGAATTTTAAGTATGCAGGATTATAGCTGGAGATCTTACTTAAAAATAAAAGTAAACCACAAGAACCTACAGTTTTAGAAGTGAAACCTTCAAGACATTAATTATGGCCAAAAGATTTCTCATGAAGATTCAAAAGATGGCCAAAAGATTTTGTCATGATTTCTTTGTTTGGCCCTTTGGTCCCTTTCATTCTATGTAAAAGTCATTTGAGTGTGACAATAACTTGGAAGGGTCTTGCACATGTTGTCACTGGTGTCACTACCGACAGTGACCTCCTAAATTGCAGCCCCATCTGATGTTTCTGCAAGTATCACCAAGACACTTTCACGGAATCAATTCATAATGATGTTCACTTTTCCAGGAGGCATAGCTTAAACTCCTGTACCAATTTTAACCTGTATTTGTCAGGATAATTTTTTAATTGCTGCCGTTGGCATCAATTCCAGTGAGTTGATTCCTTTGAAGCAAATTATTCTTCTTGTACTTTCGCAATATTTGTGTGGAGATAAGATACTTAAAGCCACAAGCAGTCATGAGATATTAACAAATTCTTTTTACTCAGACAGACAAAAGAAAAGAAGGGAAACCTTTGTGCTTGAGACTATTTCTGATCTTATGAGGAGGTGTGTAAATAAAATGTTTATGTGGCCAGAGGATTTCAACAAGTCATGAGATACAGAAGTGTATTTCAGTTTTATGTCAAACCATAAGGTTTTAATTTTGTTTCGATCATAAGAACAGACAGATTAAGATCTCCAAAAAGAACCCCACAAAAGCCAACCAAAAAAATAAAACCCCACAGAAAAACCCAACAAAACACACCAAAAAAAAACCCCAACAAAACCAAAAACCCAGAAGAAACAAACCCCCACCCAACAAAACCAAATAACTAAACATCCTGGTAAAAAATTTGCTTTTTCCTTTCCATGCTGAAATAAAAACACTCTATGATCATACCACAATCCATGTATTGTCCAGTACTTTGGTGGGTCATGACAATCATTAGCATTCTTCTGTAGGAAATAAAAACACAGAGTATTTGCCGCATGTATCCAGGAGTAAAGGTTTAAAGGCAAAAGTAAAACCTCATTCAGTGATGATGAACCTGAGGTTCTAGTGTGGCATGCCAACTTTTCCTTGCCAATCAGGAACTGGTGAACCCCACTTACATAAAGCTGTCATGGATTATGCCACTTAGGGACCCAGTGGCATTAAAATTTTGAAGCAGATCAGTAAAATCTGAACAGACAGTGTAAAGAGAAGACAAAAGGACAGGTTCTGAGGTAACAGAAAGTAGCCTGATCCATACTAAATGAACAGAACTTTATCTGCATTTATAGTACTCCAGGTGGCAGCTCTCTGTATTTTTCTCATTACCACATCTTTTCAAAGAGTGCAGAGTCATTAAAGGAAAAACATGCAAAATAAACTATAAAATTGGACAAGCACAAAATCCTCTCTAAGAGTGAAAAATACAAAGAGATTATATATATTGCTTATTTTAAATTAAAAAAAAAAAAAACACTTATGCTTTAAGGATTTTGACTTGAGGGACAAGCGAATGGAGAGAAAATGAAAGCCTAAATACCTTCCTACAAAAACAGAAAAATAAAGCCTCCAATAAAAACTGTTGATAATACAGGAATAATAGCCTACACTTGAATTACTGTTTAGAGCAGAGACATATGCCTGAAAAGAACAAAATAAAAAAAAAATCCATGTCACACATCAGAGAATACCATTACTGTAGTTTCCCTGATTATTCTTCTTAGGAATTACAGGTCATTCAAGTAAACACTTTTTGCCATTAACTAACAACTTCCCCAGACATTCTTTTCCCATAATAATAGCTTTCCTTTTTGGCTCTGCATTCTGTCCTAATTATGCCACAATGCCTTTTACATGATGCAAGAGCAGAACGTAGAGAGGAGCAGAGACAGCCTGTAATCTCACCAATTGCCTTCCACATGCCACAGGCCAGTGGCAGCAAATCTGCAACTTCTGCAAGACTTTCTTATTCTGTGCCCATTTCCTTCCTCTCCCCTCTTGCCACCGGTAATACAAGCAATTACACCCAGCAAAAGCTTTGTTTCCTGAAAGGAATATTTTGAACAAACACACACTGAAAATGCCTAAACAATATTGCTCTGTCATGACACAAGCTCTGTGGACCTGGAGGGATTTGGCTATCTAGCCCAAAGTACAGCAAATTAATAGTCAACAGCTTCCTCAACTGAGGTGGCAAGAAAAACAGTGCAATTGTGCTCCTTATTCAGTGTTTAACTGCAGTTCTCAGACATGCTAATGGAACACACAGAGCATTTCAGATCTGAAACCATGGCACTTAGTTACCCTGCGCCCGGTAGAACTGGGAGGTCAATGCAACCTACAACATGTTAGTTCACACCTTGCATGCCTTGGCCAGCTTCATTCAATCTCTTTTTCATTCTAGCCTTAGTATCTTTCCAATGTTCATTTTAAATCAATATAATAAAAAATGAAAATGCTGGTGTCCAAAGCTGGGTACCCCTGCTTGCTGGTGCAAAACCACTTTTTGTCAGCCTTCCTGTTTATCACAGACTGATTGCTGGAAGATTAACTCAGTCTCTAGAGAGTGACTGACTAGAAACAGAGGTACAAATATTTATTTTCAAGTGAGCACTGGACCCCAGAAAGTCCTACATACCTAGATTATTTGAAAAAGAAGCACTGTTTTCTCCTGTTTTACAGCAATCTGATAATCAAACCAATCCAAATGAAGCATATATGACCTATAAAACTGAGCGAAGGGCTGGTGAGGCTGTAGAGCATCCACCATGCTGAGAGGGAACACTACAGCAAAGGGATTAGCGTATTTGTAACAGCAAGTCATTGCACAAACAGCACATGCCAGAAGCATGGAAGCTTTTATCATCTTTGAAATGCCAAAAAGTGAAATACCATTGACTTGTCCCAGAAGTGTCACCTGTTGAGCTGCCCAAGTTACAAATCCTTTGGTACAGCAGCTGTTAAAGGCAAGAGTAGTGCTACTGGGTCACATACAGATACACCAAATTCAAATAAAAAATCAGCTTCTGGGAAGTGAAATATTTACTCCTGTTCTCCCTTCCAACTATCTTTCTTCATTAGGTCATCTCTTTAATTAAGAGAAATTACAAGTTATTTTGTAATGAAACATGGCAACTGCAAAGAGAAATTCTTATTTTTGAAACTGTGGAGAGAGTTCACCTCTTCAACTTCTTCTCCTCAAACAGTGTGCAATTACTCCCCTTCCTCCTTTAGTCACTTTAATTCTTTCTGTATTATGTGACTACTTCTATTTTTATCAAAAAATAAGGAAAACTAATATTTCTATTCTTCATTTAAGCCTCTGCTATAAAATCATTGCCAAAGCCTGAACTTAAGAAAATTCTCATATTGAAAAATAAAAATAATAAAAAAAATCATCTGTTTCTTAACACAACATTCAAACTTGAATTCAGGCTGTTCTGTTCATTACACTATTCTATTGTCCTTTTTTTGACTCTTTCCTTTAATGAGCACGTATGTGAAGTAAAAGGCAGATGACGGCAGGTACCATTTCTTTATTGTACTTCCCATTCCTAACTGAGAAGGAAATGAATAACTTACAAACTTGCACTGGATTTTCCACATTTCACACACACACACACAAAAAACCCCAACCACACAGAAAATTTCATCTTTTTGCAATCTCCAGGATGCAAAAGCTGAAATAATAGTTCTCTTTTTAAGTTCTGGAATAAAAGGTTTTCAGAACTCCATAAAAAGGGAGTAGGAAAGTCCCTCTTCTTGCCCTTGAGTTGCTCTTAAGTCACATGCACTTGTTACTGAAAAGTGTGGCATGAATAAGCCACAGTCACAATTTTTTAAGGGAACATGAAATTCATAGTCATTTGAGGTCTGTGAATCTAGCTTAGATATCTTTGCATAAGACATAATGACCTTAGGTCAATTATATGGTACTGGAATTTCTAATCACATTAGAAGGAATTCACCCTTTTCATTGTAGTAGTCAGTAATCAGGTGCTGGGGTAATCACTGCTTCCATGATATCACTTTATTTTAATGGGTTAGTTTGGAAGATATGATTACAAAACACTTTCCAATTTAATTGTGCTGAACACACTCCGTATTAAAAAGCATCAGCTGAACACTAACTTTTTAAAGCCCAGGAAGAGCTGGGACAGATGTATTCTCAAATTTCTGGCATGCTGATCTGGGCCCTCTAAATTTTAAAAAAGGCCTTTTGGGCCTTCAAAGGTCTAAAAAACTTTTCAAGCACAGATCTGCAAAACAGGTAGGAGTTAAGATGAAGCTCATCCACACACCTCAAGAACACACTGTATGAAAGTCTATAATCAGATTCCTTTGTATAGGAGACATAAAGTAAGAAGTAATTTCAGAAAAAAAAAGTATCTCACAGCTTTTTGCCATAAATGATATAATGACTTTTGCTGTTTCTTTCACAACTTTTTCCTTTCAACATCATGTCAAGAGTTTTAAACTGAATAATAACATTATAAATATTTACACCCTGAATAAAACCAGTTATCTTCTATAAATACACCAAACACACAGAAGAATCTACCTACTTAAAAATACTTAAATTAATTCCTGAATTTAGGAATTCCTCTTATGTAAAAGAAGAAAGCTGTTATAGGAGTACAGTTGAGATCTTGTTTCTTCATATGACTCAATGATGAGAAACTAGGAAAAAAAAGTCACTTAATATGATTTTAATATCCCTTTTTCTGCATATCTTTGAATGCGTCAGTCCACCTCTTATTACAGAATATCATAAGAAATCAACAAAGTGCAAGGATGCCTACATTTTCTGATGCTCAGTATCTTCAGTAATTCACTACAACTTCACTAGAAGATTATGTGAATTATTTGTCAATTTACTACCCTGCACTATTTGTCAATGCACTACCCTGGAATTCAGAGGAGTAACCAGCGTAATTCAGAGGAGTAACCAACATACACATAAATACACAGTGGGAAAACTGGTTGGTAGGGCTTTGTTTTTTAAATTTTGGGTTGTTTAACTTTTTTTATTTTTTCCCAATTGTTCTCATGTCATTAATGCAAGCAAGGGTTTGCACTGTTACTGACTCTGAACACTGAATCGTGCTACAAACTCATCGACACCAACATCTCTGCTTCATGTCCGTAACAGTGATGTTTAATCAACAGAAAATCAGACACAAATGGCATCAAATCTTTCCTTATTTCCACACAAAAACAGGCAAACAAAAAACAGAACAGTTGTCTCAGTCACACACATCTGACTTTTGTTATTGATATTACCCTCCACATTCATTTGGCTGAACCTGAAGCTACCGTATTATCTACAAGGTTCTTCTACCTTGTGTCAGTAAATCTGATCATATTTTTAACTTAATTGCATGGGAAGAGACCTTTGAGTACTTCCAGTATAGGAAAAGTGTTCTACTTATCAGATGGTAGTAGATACTTAATAGCAATAGCGTCTTAGCTGTGCTTTGACAGAACATATGTTGGAAGGTTGGGTTCATAGCCCTCAAATACAGCAAAAAATGCAGAAATACTCAGAGACACCTGCCACAACATCTTTATAGCTCTCTTTCCTGACTGAATCAGTATTTGATGATATCATAGAAAATACTGGAGCCATAATTACAAAGCTAAAAAACCTTACTGTGCAGCAGACAGTTCAAATACTGAACTGTCATCAGCCAAATAAGGCAGGCAAGTCTTCCTACAGAGTCTGATGAAAGTCTAGGATTAAGTTTATAACTAATAAAATGCCACAAATTCTGTAACAAGGTTAGTGTACAGTACACCCTACACTGACAACTCTATCTGTAACTCACCACAATCTTTCCTGTTATGGCTGCTCTGCATTGCAAGGGAAATAGCAAAAGCTGCATTAAGATCAGGAAAAGCCTTTATAAAGGCATAACCAAGATTAAATACTTAATGGGCTTTATTCACTCTGTTTTCACACATTTATTATCCAAAGCTACCTTTTTTAGGATAAAAGAGAAACACAAAAATCTCACCTTACATACAGTCACTGGCCAATGATGAGCAAAATACAGCTTTTTCCAGGCATGAGGGTGGATGTCACTGGAGAGAGACAGACAAATTTGTTTTTCTTCAAGTATTTTTAAAAAGAGGAACACCTTCAGGCACACACTCCAAACTAACGATTCAGAGAGAAACAACATATGAGGAAACATGCTAATATCTCCACTGTTAAACAAATTCTCCTTCTGGCACCCCATCTCCATATGCTTTCTATTTCTTAGGTATGCAGAGGGGGGAAAAAAAACCCTCAAAAATTTGTTCAAGAAGTGTTGGAAGCCTGTATCGCATAATTTCTATAAAGGTCTTTTCCAACAGTTTTGAGCAGACCTATTCTGGTTAAGTAGATGTAAATAAAAAACCTGTTGCATCAGACACTACAGCAGATATATTTAGTTATTAAGCAACGAGACAAAGTAACTAAATAGAACAAAAAAAAAAACCAACAGAATTGTGAATTATTTAAACTGACAACATTATGTGCAGAACTGTCAAAATAAATTGTTATTCTCTGGAAGCTAACAGCAACTTGTCGGTCATCAGTTCTTGCTAGATGATATATTACCAAAAGAAAAAGGAAGAAAAAAAAAGGAATTAGAAGACCAAGCTAATTCTTCTCAACCTGAGGACAGCCTGGGGATGCTTCTGTGTTATATCACACCTCAGTTTTTTCCTCTAGTTTTTCTACTTTGCAACGGCCACATTTTCTCTTATGCATTCACATGTATCCATTGTTTTCTATATAATTTAGGAGAATAGCTCTGGAACCTAGCAGGCATAGCCACAATGAAAACTATTAACACTTTTATAGGGGTCTTTTTTTGTAGAAAGAATGTAGAAACTTGAATAGAGATATTGCCCTATATTGCAGAGCAGTTAATTTACTTGGCTTTAAAAAGCCCTTGCTTAGAAACGATCTTTCATTAGACTTCTCATAACATCTTCCATCTGTATTTGAAATAGCAGCTGAACTTCTGCAATGTCAGTCATGCCGAAAGAGTTCTCCCAGAACACACTTTCTGGCTAAGGATGGGTCAGAAAACTTATTAAACAGAGCAAGTTAAGCTCAAAAATGGAATCCAAGGAAAGCCATTTTCAGTACCTATGCAGCTTCAGAGATATCCTCCCCTTCTCTGGACCAGAGTTATCCTGCTCTGTGCAACACAGCAATGTGACTTTAGAGCTGACTCTTTACCAAGACGGCCAAGCCAGAGCCCAAATCCTGGGGATTGAAGAAACATCAGCAGAGTGTCTAAGCTACCCACCAACTGCAATGTAGGCACTGAAAGAAGTTCAGCACTGAACTGAGCACCCCTAGCCATTCTCTTGCCAAAGGACTAAAGGAAGCAGAAAAGCTTATTTCCTCATCTAATGCAACAGGAATTTCAGCTTTGACCACAGAAGGGTATGACTTGGGTGTGGTTTCTCCCATGGCTCGTTGGCATTGAGCTCAGATTTTGCCAAGGGGCAACAACCACCAAAAGGTGGTGCAGCAATCTGATACAGTCTCAGTTGGGATGTCCTATAGAAAATATATGACAAAAAAAAAATTTTATGTTGTCAGAACTGAGAAAATAGCAAGGAAAAGAAAAGATAAATAAAAAAGTAAACAATGCAACAATTAGCGCAGTTCACCCCACAGGGATGACTCCAGATTTTTTGCTTTAAGTATCAAAATAATTTTCACTTTTTGTCATTACTACATCACAACTCTAACTGATTCATCTACAGCAAGATTAGAAAAGTTTTAAGTGCATCAAATGGAATTTAAGTTTCCCCTCTTTCTTCATGCTGACACACGTAAAGGTTTCCTCAGGCATGATCCTTGCTCCTCTAGTTAATGTAGATGCCTTACTGTAAATCACCTAAGGGTAGAATAACACATAAAAAATAATACATAATAACAAATTTACATCAGAAGTTAAACCATTCTGATCTGCACTTAAGAATGAGTTGTCAGATGTTTCATTTTAAAGCACAACTTACCTTTGAGTAAATGTATCTGAAGTACACCAACAACATAGTGCCATGAAAAACCAACCCAGAATCCAATAGTGCAGCTTTGCAGATCTCATTTTGTTATTCAAATAGCTGTAAAAGGTGTTGAAAGAAGAAATCTTTACCTATCCAACACACTTAAAATGCAAAAGAAACCTACTATGTCAGAAATAGCAGGTAATGATACCTCTAGGTTAGATTTACAACCATGGGTAAATGGGGATGTCTTTCAAGGCTATGCCTGATACCCCAGCTTGTATGGTAATTTTCATAAACTAATGCCATCAAGGATGAGATCACTGTTTCCTTTTTCTTCTTTACTTACACATGGTTGCAAAAGAGCTACCTTCCAATTAACAGAAATATGTAAATCTTCTACACAGCTATACTTTATGTAATTGAAGACTCTACTTGTAGTCAGATTAAATGGCCAAAGTGATTCATTAAACAAACTTTGAATTTAATATTGAATATTCGTGTTGGATTGGCGAAGGCTGGTATTAGAAAATCACAGGAAGCCAAGGATGATGTCTAAAGATGGAATTCTGCCTAAATGCCAGCTGATTACTAAACTAATTTTTTTTTTTTTTAAATGCTGTTAAAAGCACACAAGTTTCTGTTCCTGTTATAAACCTGACATAGCCTCTGTGAAACCATGCACAATTTGCCTAATACTTCACGGACCTTAGAAGTCATGGGATAAAAAAAACAAATCAACCTTCACAAACAGAAGAACTTTCACTTGGCACAGGTCAAAAATCCCAAGTGTCTCCCAAATCTCCCAGTCATTTCACAGTATTTCAAATGTGACCTTCTAGAAAGGAATGTACATGCACATATTTACATGCAAGTTATTAAAGCCTCACCAAACCTACTTCCCAACTCCGTCAAAATGACAATCCTACACCACAAGACACTGCATGTAACCTAGGTGACCTTTCAAAGATCTCTCACTACACAAGTCGTATTCTTTTTTCCTATGAAGGTTTTTTTAAATTCATTCTTACCACATCAAGTAAAGCCTGTTTTGACACCAGTGAAGACATGGCTGATTCCACCACTCCACTGAGAAAACTCAGTGTAATTCATATTCACAGCTCCTTATAAAGAAGAACCCATTCTCCCACAGTTGTTATGTGGCTCTGGACCCAGCCTGCAGAACCACACAGTTCTGCAAACGCTGTGCCAGAGCTGAAGTACAAAGGAGGGAGCCTCCCTGCTTGCAAAATGTGTGGGGATTTCAAAACTGGTGAGGGCTTGGGCAACAACAGTAACCGTTAACCAGCTAAATTTATCACAAGGTCTTGCTAAATTGTGAGGAAGCTAACACCTTTAAGACATTCTTCTATTTCATACATTAATGGCCTCTTTCATTTGTAATGGGCACATTATCAAGATACTTGGCCTAACAGAAGATATAGTAAGATAAATATTAGTTAAACTGTTAACTTCCCAATCTAGTTTCTTAAAACACCAGAAGGAATTTCACTCACCAGGTAAAATATGGAAAAAAAAAAATTTAAAAATCATTTGGAGAGTGCTACTTGTATAGAAAAGCAAACACTAATATAGAAATAATCTTCAGCAAAAGCTAGCCAAAGCAATACATATATACTGTATTAAAGTAATTTATATAGTCATACAGTGTATAAAAATGTCACAAATAAGTAATTAAGTGCCAGATAGCCAATTTCCCTAAGAATTCTGCACCTTAAGTGATCTCCAGTCTCATCACTTGACCAACAGGAATGAATGATGATGTGAGATTCTGCCTTACAGACCTGCTTAATGGTTTAATCTCCTATTATTTTGAACTGAAAACCAACCAAGCAAGACTACTTTTCTGCATGAAAAGCTATCAAGACAAAGCATTGAGAGACGTAAGGAGTGTAAAATTCATGTAAAATTCTGCTCTACCTACAAAAAGCAGGAAGTACCACTTAAAAGACAGTAATGTCACACATCACCAAAAAAAAAAAAGCTGCATTCTACAAAGGTGTGGAAGAAACACCTTAAGGAAGTCAATTAGGAAAGAAAAATAACCCAGTGTTATAGCATTTCTTTTGATGTAAGCTGGTAGGCAGAAAGAAGCTTTTTTTTTTTTTCACTAAGTAGCAAAAAAACATAAAGGCTATTGTCTCCTTTCTCACTGGATTCTTATATTTGATCAAGCAACAACCAGGAACAGAGGGGCCTTCAAAAAAATGCTGCTATCAGAACAGCAGAAGGTGCTGATTTATTCTACGTATTGTTCTGATCCCTGAAACCAGAATATAGAGCAACAAAGCAGGTTTGAAAGCCCCCAGTCTGTAACTTCCACTTTTTTCCACTGATAAACAATCCATACTCTCTAAGGATTTAGCTCAACCTTGCAGGTACCACAACACTATCACGACAGACTGAGTGATTTATTCAAGCTGACCTTTTATTTGTCTCTGACATTGGTGATGGGTGAAAAGTGGATCAATCTCACCTTAAAGGCATCTGAATGATATGTGTTTGAGGAAATACATGCATCAAAATGAAAACTGCATTAACAACTAAGATGCATAGAGCACATACATTTTTAATAAAAATTTCTTCTGTTTATTAAAAATTACACTAGATTACTAATTTCACAAACACAATAAAGAACAGATTTAACAAATCTTACACCAACTCTTCTCTAGTAAGAAACAGGGATTTCATATTACAAAAGTTAGTTAGAAAAAAAAGTCAAGATGTTCCAAAAGATTTCATAACGTAGAAAACTTAAAACTTCTAAATGAAACCTGCACACATACATAAAATTATTACTTTACACTAGGCTCATTTTTATTATAGATAAAATTCCAAAAGGCATGATACAGCTTTGGGATTACTCTTGGTGTACTGTATCTAGGAAAGGAATGCAAAGCACATGTTTCTGTGTGTGTTTCTATGTTTTGGTAACTCAGTCAGGGCAAGGTCACTTTCAGTTATGTTAGTATTGTTCCATGCTGTTTTCAAAATTACCTGCCCAGGCTTATCAAACCCTAGAGACAACTTGCAATAAATAAGGAGAAAATCCTCCTCTAACACATTCACTATAGTTTGAATTCTAATACACCACCTTGAGGGGAGTGCTGATGTAGCACATGCTTCTTTTGGACACTAGCAATTAGTCACTTCTTATTTTACTCCCTTATTTTGTTTCTGTTTTGCTTTTAACAATTAGCTTGACTAGCAAAACTCTCATTAATGCAAACCTCTCATTAATATAAAATCTCCTGCTCTACAGTTTAGTTCAGAATGTAAATTCAGAAGAGAAGATGATGCAGAAGAGCACTCAAGCAATCAGCAGGAGATGCCCATAGTTATGACATAGCACGCACTCAGCTAAATGCTGGCAACAATGTCCAGAGATAAGATTTAGGACAGTTAGCGTGGCATCTAAAGCCACAAAAAAGGAACACACAACGGTATGGTAGCATCTCTAACAAGTCAGCATGTGGCATCTGCCACACCGAGTTAGACAAGCCAAGTCACAACACTGTATGCCAGAAGCATTAATTTAATTTATAACAACGCTCTTAGCTCCGACAACTTTTACCTCCACTGTCCACTCCCAGCTAGCCCTGCATCCCAAGCCCGAGTGCTGGTCCGAGTAACGGCAAAAGGCTCTTCGAAGCTTTTTCAGAGGCAATACTCACGCCCACCGCCACGGCCCGATTTCAACAGTGGCCCTCTCACAGCGTTCAGTGCGATGGGGGCTCTCATCGCCGAGGCTGAGCGGTGTCGAGGTGAGCCCGGAGGGAGCAGGGGCTGCGCTCAGCCGCCCGGCTTCCTGGGGAAGCGCCGAGCACTACGGCGCCTCGCCCTCCTCGCACGGCAACCAACACACGGCTCTGCTCTAGCACCGATGGAACCCCGACAGCAGAAAGCCTTTACTGCAGATAAACAATCATTACAGAGGTGTCCGCACAAACTGTAAAGAATGCAAATCTCCTAAGCACCGGAAGCGGGGGGCCTCCAGGCGACAGGAGGATGCCAAAGCTGACGTAAGGTGTAAAAAACCCTCAAAAAACTATTATGAGTTTTCCCGCCTTTAGGAAATGCTGCCACTTTTTTGGCTGACTTTCGATTTGCTATGCATGGAATTTAAACCATAAGAAGTGAAAGCAAACACAATCAGAGTCCGCCCCAGGCCTGCAAGTCCCACCTTTGGAGCTCGCGCAACTGAGGATCCCAGTGGCAGAGAGCCACTATCCCAGGCAGAAAAGCCTACTCAGAAACACCTCTGACGGGCCGCACCGCAGCTCCCTCCTACCCGGCTGCCACCGCGGGAGGGCAGCCCCACGGCGGGCAGGGGGGCGGGAAGAGAGAGCCGAGGAAGGCTGGAGCGGGGACAAATCCGGCCTCCGCTGCCTCGGGGTCAGACCTCAGCACGCTGCGCGCACACTCTCCCCGCCCCCAGCCCACGTTACCTTCCGCTCCAGCGCAGTCCGCAGGAGCCGCCCCGCGCCCGCCCCTCTCCCAGGCCCGCGCATGGCCCCGCCCCGGAGGGCGGGCGGGGGGCGGTACCACCGCTCACCACAGCGGCCTCTCGCGGCCTGCCCGGGTGCTGGCAGCTGCTGGGGACGTACACACTCGGGAGTAGCGGCGCCGTGGTATTCCCTTTGCTTCCCTGGAGCATCCCTGGAGCACCCCTGTGGCCAGCCGGGTACCGCGGGAGCAGGGCATTGTGAGCGCGGGCAAGAAAGGAGTGGCGGGCTGTGGAAGAAAAAATTTATGTAGGTGGTTTGGTTCGTCCTGCTGTTTTGGTTGGTTCTTTAGCATATTCATGGATTTAGTTATGTTGGTTTTATACTGAGCATTTGTGTGGCACGGAGGTCTTCGAGAGTGCGATGAGGACTCTAAATAGGAGACTACTGACTAATGCAAGCCCAGGAGCTGACACAGGCATCTGTGGCGTGCTTCTCCAAATAGAGAAGTTTGAAATAGTAACAACTCGTATTTGGAAGCAGTAGGAAGTTTCTGAGGAAGGAGCCCCAAGGGATGAGTCAGAACTTGGTTCAGTATTTTCTTAGTGGTGTGTTAAACTATGAAACATATTCTGACCCTTCTTTCTCTGCTGATGCATGAGTCATAAATACAAAGTGTGAGTATTAATTACTATTATGTAGTTTTGAACTACAAGGAGTATGTTACAACCATCCTACATTAATGCACTTAAGAAATATGTGGGCAGATCTGCTTCCACGAGCAAAACAACATTTGTTTTAAACAGATTAATTTCAGTCTTTGTAATAAGGTCTTTGTTCAACGTCTCAGTTTTATTAACTGGTAAAAAACCCCTTTAATTATGTGTTTACGTGGTAGGAATGAGGATGAGGCAAAACTAATCTCTTTGCCTCCCTTTCTGTGGAAACGTGAAAACGTGCTGGGTGGAATGAGTGATCCATCTGTTGTTGTCTAAGAGGTATCAAACGTTTCAGAAATTTTCTCTAAGAGTTAAAGATAGTGAAGCTCTTCAGATCTTTGTAATCAGTGTGGCTCTTCCTGCTGGTGAGGACACCAGGGCTCCATGTGGCACTGAATTCTTTGTTACTGCCCATAAAATCAGAAGATAAGCACATCAAGTTGTTCTCTCAGACTAGGGGTGAAAACTGGGCTGTACTGCACATACTCTCCAGCATGCAGGGTCATGTGCTTCAGTGCTAATCTTGTCTGAGGTGCAACGGGGATTTGCTGTCTGAGGGTGCCAAATTGTGGTGTTTGTAAGGGTCCCAGGACAGGGGAAGAGATGAATTTGACTCTATGTTCTCAGAAGGCTGATTTATTATATTATGATATTATATTATATTAAATTATATTAAAGAATGCTATACTAAAACTATATTAAAAGAATAGAGAAAAGGATACATCAGAAGGCTTAACAGGAATGAATAATAAAAACACGTGACTGACTTAGAGAGTTTGACACAGCTGGCTTTGATTGGTTATTAAGTAAAAACAATTCACATGGAATTAATGAAAGAATCACCTACTACATTCCAAAACAGCAAAACACAAGGAGAAGTAATTAGATAATTATTATTTACATTCTTTTCTGAGGCTACTCAGCTTCCCAGGAGAAGAAATCCTGGCAAAGGGATTTTTCAGAAAATATCACGGTGACAGCAAATTACCGCTTTGCACTTTGTGAAAACTAAGATCAGTGACAAATTTCCCATTAGGGTGATTACAAAGAGAGATCCAAAGCTACACAGAAATAGTGTAGGCCTTTAATATACCAGGACAAAGAAGACACATTTTTATGTTACAGTATCATAAAATAGTGCATGTTAATGGATGCTGTTATTAAAAAGAATGTTTTTGTGAAATATGCAAAGGTAGACAACGGACAGCTACATTGGATAACTATCTCCTTAAGACTTTCTATTTAATATTTATTGGTCTACTATGATATTTTGTTTCTCTGTTGTCTTTTATCTCCTGATCGCTATTAGCACTCATGATGCTATGAAAAAATGAGGACATGTCAGAATATTTGAAATGTTTCTTTTACATTTCATGAAAATTATGTTCTCCTCAAAAAATTCTTAACAAATGTGGTAGTACCCTAGATTTCTATATGTTTATATTCTGAAATGTGTGGCCTGAAAAAAACCCAACCCAAAACGAGTTGAAATGCTTCAAAACAATACATTTTTCCAGCTTTCAGCAGTTTACATTAGGATTTAAGAATCAAGATAGAGACTTTCAAATTTTTTCTCTGTAATACAATGTGTTGTTTTGCTTTGATTATTCTCATTGCAGAAATAGAACAAACAAATCCAGTTAGACTTTATTCCTAAAAGTGTGGTAAAGAAACATTTATAATACTCTGAGCAGATGTACACATTTTGGAATATATGTATAGTCTCATGTCCTAATTTCAAGTCAGTAGACTTAGTCCATGGATTATTTTGAAAGCTTACATTTTATTAAAATTTTTTTAATAGCCTGTAGCTATGTGTTTCTATGATTTCCACAGAGCTGACTTGGGAATTACATAAATTCAAAATGGTAACATATCCTTCAGTTTGAGGCAGTGCCTTGCAATAGGATACTGGACTGTGCTTTGCTGCCCTCAAGCTGATGGATATTTAGCCATATAATAGTCTGCTGTTTTGCAGAGCTCAAAAAACATTATCTGTAGAAAGGACTCCAAATATTCTACATGTATTTGAAAGCTGGAAGGCACTGCTTATGAAATGGTAAATGACTCTTGCAAATTATATATCTTCTAAAGTCTATTCATTTGTCTTCCTCTGTTCTATCTTTCCTTCATGAATTATTTTATCCAGTCGGTTTTGTCTTTCCATTAAGTTTACACATCTAGTTGTTATAGGTAAAAATTGATTCAGCCAATTAGATCAAAAATAAAAATAAAATTTATTCATGACCGACATACAGTCCCGACCGCCAACAATCAAGAGGTAGCGCCGACCCCGGGATCGGAGCAGGTGAACTATGATCCGGCCTTTATCGCACTGAATCCCCCTGTTCACCATCGAGGCCTGGCAGAGTTCGGTTTTTATACTCTTTTTCTTGCCCGCGGCGGATTCCCTTTGTCCCTTTCTGGAGTCCTTCACATTCATGCAGTGTCTATTCTCTGTCCTGTGCTGGACAAAGCCTCGTCCGGGAATTGATATGCGTCTGTCTCCAGTTCCTGGAATCCTTCATTCAGATGTATGTCCTTGATGGTCCTGTTTGTCTGAGGTGGACATCTACATGGGCCATCATCGCTGGGCATTTTCTTGTTCGTGTCGTCAGGGAGTGCCCATCTCCTGTGCAGGCTAGGTTTTCTTCGTATGTTAACGATGCACCTCTCCTCGGCTTCGAGCTGTCCTGTGTGGCAATCACCCTCTCCCCTTTGCTGGCTTCATCTTAAAGCTTTATTTTATATTACATTAATAATCTTACATTTCCAGCAGGAATTACCACCTTATTCATAACAGTGAACAAATAAAAATAACTGTAGTACCAGACATTATCTTTCTCAATTTACTATTTGTTTCTGATACAGTTTTGAAAAATTAAATTGAAGGAATTGTTAAGTGCTTAAGTACAGTGTTGTGGGTTTACTTCCACACAATTTTGTACTGAAGTGAAAGACTGCTAATGTTTCTTAACTTTAGGATTTCAAAATACAACACTCTTTGGGCTGCTGTGGGAATGGGTGTAGGACTCCAGCAGTACCTCCCATGTGTCCAGCAGAAGTGGGGTGGAGTGAAGGACACCTGTCCACACAGGCTTGGCCAAGTCTTTAGAGCATCCCTGCACGTGTTTTAAAACCAGCCTCCCGCAGTGCCCTGCTTTGCCCGGGGGCTGTATATGCTCCCTTGGAGCATTCCTAACTTATGAAATTATTTGTCATATACTGGACTTCAAGAAAAATTATAAGCAGTTCAGCATGGAAAAAAATGCCACATTGTAGTTCTGCAGAGAAAGCATTACAATTTACAAACCTTTATATTTTTTGTTTTAAGGAGCAACAACGAACATGCTTGTTACGAAACGAGGGCTCTAGAAGCCCCTCTTGGTGCTGTTCAGCATCTGGTGCCCTTGTGGGCAGCAGAGCAGAAAGGTGAGACCATGCCCCGAGCCCACTGCTGCCGTCAGAAGCTGCTGGAGCGAGCGTGGCCCTGGAACGGGGGCTGTTCACCCTTCAGCCCGAATACAGAGCAGCTGCAGCCCCCAGGTGTCGGAGCTGTCCAAGCGCTTCTTTAACTTTCACCGGCTCGGTTCTGTGACCACTTCCCTGGGGAACCCTGGGGGGCCTGCTCCACGGCCCAGCTACTCTCTGGATGAAAACATTTTCCTGATATCTAATCTAAACCGCCCGCGACTCAGCTTCATGTCATTCCTTCGGGTCCTGTCACTGATCACCACAAAGAAATCGCTGTGTGCCCCTCTGCTTCCCCTCGCGAGAAAGTCGTAGACTGTGTTGAGATCTCCCCTCAGTCTACTCCAGGCTGAACAGACCAAATGAGCTCAGCCGCTCCTCGTACAGTTCCTTGGGTTCGAGCATGGCGGAAGAAAGGGGGAGACACCGAGCGCGTCTGAGGGGCCGCTTGCGGGCACGGGCAGCCGCACAGTTCAGCCGTTACCCCCC